TGTAAGCTCTGGAATTCCACAGGACAGTGTTTCTCAAGACTGAATACTCACAGGAGGAAGGGGCTGTATAATCCTCACACCCACAGGCTCTGGCTTAAAAAGTCCACCAGCCCCCTGGCCCCTCCATGAGAAGGAACTGACATTTAAAGAGTGAATACGAGTGGGCCAGCACTGGAGTGTAACTCAGAGTTGTTAGGACTTGCAGATGAACAAAGTGCAACTCAGGGGGGTTAAGAAGTGGAGCAAGATCACCCAGCTGTGAAAGAGCAAAGTTTAAAAACCTGGTTAATTTTGCTTCAAAGATACTCTTTCAATAATTGCAGCTGTCAGTCAAAGAAGCCAAGCTTCTCTCTGACACACCCACTCTATGTGGCAGGGTACTGAGTACCTATGTCAGGAGTCCAGGTCTGCTGGATAAAGAGCCACTCAAACGAGCACTGAGACCTGACACACTTTCCTGAATGTTCACTGAAGTCTCTCCTCCTGCCGGTCCCATATCCCCACCAAAATATATGTGTGTGTATTATTTGTCAGTATCACAGCATAAGATACAGTAGATGTGAACTAGCCATATGAAGGCCTTCTTTTATATTTCCTGTAAAACCCAAAGAAAGCACTGTCCATATGCCGCTTCCCGGCCTCGTGCAAACACTACATCTAGCAACAAACTTCCCTCTAGTGCTTATGAACCAGGAAAAGTTTGTTTCAAAGACAAACAGGTTTTCTTATTTAAACCGAGGACAAACGACAGCTTATGGGGCCCTTAGCCAGTTCTTGTAAATAAAGTTTTATTGGAACACAGCCACACCCACTCATTTACATATTGCTCTGGGAGCTCTCCAGATGCAAAAGTAGTGTGGGTGGGTGATAGGGAATTGCGGGGGCTCCTAAAACTGAAAATATTTACTTTCTGGCCCTGGGTAGGAAAAGTTTGCCAAACCTTAATTTAGACACAAATATAACACACTCAGCATGTTGTGCTAACTAGGAAGCTCAGAGCTAAATTTAACATTCAATTTCTATAAGTCATGGACTCATCTTCGGTATTTTCCTATTTCTCTGTGTCTTGTGTTTTACTCTCCCAATTCCACTTCACTATTTTACTTAAAAATAGCTAATATTCTCTGAGTACGTATAATATGCAAAAACAAAACAACAAAAATGTTGACTCAAGCCCTTGAACACGTACTTCCAATTAATTCCAACAGTAAAACTGTAGGGGAGAAAATAGTCTCCAATCACTGAGGAAAAATGAATGAAAAAGATGAAGAAGTCATCAGTTGATTGCAGTGGGAATATTTACCATATCGTAATTCAACCTAGAGTAACAGGAGGGTTACCTGGAAAACTCTGGGTGCTCACTATGTATGAGAGAGGGGACCAACACAGACCCTGCAATCAATGCCTTACATGATTATAAGATGCTGTTACTCGGAGATTCTTCAGATTTTAGGGGTTTCTTTTAGGAAGGATTCTTTGTTGATTGTTTTCAGGGAGAAGAGATGGGGGTTCAGTGTCGCTGCAGACCAAGCTGAACAGCCACTTCGTCAAGAATCTCCCAGATTTAGGGAGAATCATAGTGACCCACAGCCTTATCATACATGGAAGCAGAATGTGGTGTCATGTCACAGTCTCTGAAACTTTGTGCCTGTGATGTTGTGAGCTCCCCACAGCCATGGTACCACACTTCTAAACAAGGATTGACAATCTAAATTAAGACCCTTTCAGGACCAAGAGGCCTACTTGTATTCAAGAAATAGCAACCTTACCTTGAGTTAGATTTCTACAATCTCATCACTAATATCTGCAAAATTAGATGGCTTATGCAGACACCCTGGGCTCTGGGCACACTGGTATGGGGACAGGTCCAGGATGCTAAGCTATCTCCAGGAATGGCAGCTGGAGGATCTTAGGGGAAGATCCCCAGGACTAGAGTATATGTTTCCATCTCCTCGGGAGCCCACCAAGGCAAAACAGCCTTGATAACAGCACTCAACAAGACACATGCCCTGCCAGGCAGAAGAGGGCTGACGGAGGACGTGGATCATAAAGAGAAGTACAGGCCACTGCTGTAGCTACCACAGGAAATGGCAGAGCTGCCAGGGGACTTGGAGGTACCAGCATCGGTAACACCAGAACCCCTGGAATCAGTACACCAGGCCCATAAGAACCAGTGACAACACCAGAACCAAAGGCATTATCAGCATCATCACGAACAGCTCCAATATTAGAACCAGAACTACCAATATCAGCAGTACCAGTACCAAGACCACCAGTATCAAGACCACCAAAACTGCCCACATTAACCAGTATCGCCAGCACCAAAAGCACTGGCATCAACAGCACCAATCATCCAACTAGTGAGACCATATGTCCCTGGACCTGGTGCTGTGATCCTGGAAGCCACATCCTAATGTCTGCTTGTCTTACACTTGTCATCTCTCAGTAAGTGTCACAATGCCCTTTTACTCCCAAGCATCCCAGCTTAGAAGAGCAATCACATAGTTTCCTACCAATAAGAACAGACCAAAAGGAGAGGGTGATTTGCTCAGGGCCACAGTCACTAGAGGGGCCAAGAAGGAGCTGAAGTCACATCTCTCAGCTCCAGGCAGTGTGGTCCATGGGAATAGTTGCTTTGCCTCTCGCTGGTCACTCTAGAAGTAACCCAGATCTTAACAGTGCCTACGCACAGCTCTGTTCTGGGGTTTGCATGGATCAGCCTTGCCACTCACTCTGCACAGAGGCTGATCTAATAAAATGGCGATTTTTACTACATCCTTGTTCCTAGGGTGTAGCCCTCTTGAAACCACCAAACACAGACTTATTTCTCCCCGTTACAGTTCTGTGTCTTTTAGTGCCTGAGCCTACCCTTGCACTCTCACAAGGGGAGATAAAGAGGACCACCACAATGGGGTTATTTCTAGGGAGTAACCTATAAAAGAAGAGAAAGGGAGCCGTGAGTCATACGATAAATGAGGTGCACTTGTCACAGCAGGAGGATGAGGGAGAGGGCATGAAGAGGTTGAGAAGCTGAGAGCCTCATAGCCCCTTCCTGAAATGACTCCTCTCCCTTCTCCTGCTCAGTCAGGTCCAGGAACAGAGCTCTTATCACCCTGTGCTGCAAGTCCCCACTTGCCAAACACACAGCATCTCCCAAACCAGGAGCAACTGAGTGCTAGTACCTTAGTGCAATTCAACTCTAGCCCCAGGCCCAGCACTGGTCCCTAATTTCTGGGGGTATCCCCTAAAGTCTGTCTCTCCTAGGGAGAAGTAGGACTCCAGACTCCATGGGCCCAAGATCATCCACAGCAGAAGTCTCACACACATACATCTTTAACCCTAAGACCTCCAGAAAAGTCTTTCTCCTCCAGCTGACTTGACTGGTTCTGCATTAAACATCAGACACCTCCTGGGCATGGTGTCGCATGCCTTTAATCCCAGCACTTGGGAGGCAGAGGCAGGCGGACTTCAAGGCCAGCCTGGTCTACATAGAGAGTTCCAGACCAGCTGGAGCTACAGGGAGACCCTGTCCCCCGCAAAAAAACCAAAACCAAACCAAAACAAAACAGACACCTAAACTCAACCTTCTCAGCAAATATCCTGTGTAAGTCATACATGCCCCTAGGTTCTCACCTATAGAGTGGGGACACACTGCCCACTTGAAGAACCTACAAGGGGTCACCATCCCATCAGACCAACCTTGTTTCAATGACATGTCTACTGTGTGCCTAGCCTCCAAGTAAGACAATCTACTTCTGATCTCAGATTCCTCAAGTATATAGTCAGCATACACCTAGCATGTACTACAGGCAGAGGCCTATGTTTGCACTAGCAATTCAAGGAGGGCTGCCGGAGAGTTCATTATCGACTAGCTAGGCCTGAAGTCCATCCATAATCAGACCCCACCCCAAGTATCACTTAGGCAGCCAAATGCTAGGTGGCCCCAGGTTCAAGTTTCCTTTGGGTAACCTGGCACTACAGTAAACATTTCTAGGCACTACCAACCTTGCAAGTCCCAAGGGGTTAAGCTTCCTGCCCATCAGCTGCAGAACCACAGAGGACTGGTGAGCCTCTGCTCCCTCCCTCCAGCTAGCAGGAAGCCCGTTTCCCTTGCCTATCACTGGTCTGACTCTCAGTCTTCCCACGGGCTGCAGTAATTGTGACCCTCAACCAACTGTCTTTGCCAACCTGTGGTGCCCAGTGCAAAGTCTAGCATTGTCTTATTTGGCTCTGCTCAGAAAGACTTTTCAGAGCCAAGCAGAAGAAACCGCCCCAGAAGCTGCTCTCCACCAGCACTGCCCTGACCCTGTGCCACATCTGGCATGTGTTCTGCACATAGTGTCTGTTTTATAAGCCTCAACACCAACCTTGTGATAGAAGGGGATAGAAGAACCTCAATACTGGCCCTGCTTAAGAGAGGAAGGAAAAGAATTCAGTTGTCACTTGCCCTGATTCACATAGGGTGCTAGAGATTCAAACCCACAACAACCACCTGCTGACACACACCTCTCACAGTACCAGCCATTTGGTCTTTTGTTATTCTCAGCTCTAAGCACAGAGCCAAGAAACCATCCTGCCATGCCTATCTTCCGTATGAACTACGAGTGTCCTGAATTAATCACAGTGTTTTCCTCTATTCTTTTTTCAGTGTGAAAGACCATGTGCCAGGTGCCCACCATGTCTCCAAGACACAGACATCCTCCACAGGCCTTGATCTTCAGAGTATCTACAATCTGGAAGACAGACATGTGAACCCTTGATCAGTGAGTGCCCATCAGCACAAAGAAGGGTGGTTGGTTCCAGGAGAACTTTTTACTTTGGGCTCCCAGCCTCATACCAGACACATGGATGAGTTCAGGAGATGGCAGCTCTCCTGATAACCAGCCACAGCACAAAGTGCCCTCAACCATCAGTAGGACAACCTGGCCTATAGCACAGAACACTCTGGAAGGAACGTGTCAGGCATGCTTCATCAGGAGAAATGGGACTTGGGGACTTACGTTTTAGAAGGAATCCAGGTTGCCAGAGAGACCAGAGCAAATATTCCCACCAAGTCAAAGGTAGAGAAGTAAACTTGAAACTGTGGTCTTTGTCCCCAGTGGGTATCCAGGCTGAAAGAATCCATGAAGCCACTAGCAGCATCCCGAAGCATGCTGAGTGTCGTTCCAAGGCCTGCATCCACCAGCATTACTCCCAAGGCACTGTAAATCCACAGGGCTCGGAAAATCCCCGAGTAGTTTCCATGCAACCAGCAGGCACAGCCCTCCAAAGGGGCATCTTTTATCATAGTCATGTCAAACAGATCGGGCCTAGGACAGAGAAGAAGGAAACAGTATTGTCATAATCGCAGGCCTTCAGTAGCAACCATCACTCCTTCCTTGTATTTAACCCTAACATGCTGGGAGAGTTAGGTACTAAGAAGGATTCCTCAGGATACTAGCACCCAAATATAAGCAGGCAGCCAGGGGGGCCTTCAGTGAGCGTTGCTAAATGGGCCTCTCCTCTCCAGGCAGGGGTCTCTAGTCTACATGGGGATCCTCAGAGCTGCCTCAATGGGAAGCAAGGCCCTATAGGCCCACAAAGCTGATGAAGGGAAAGCGAACTGGCTTGTTTAGGCTGACAGAAGGCGAGATCTGGCACACAGCCAGGCTCCCCTGCAGGGCTATGAAGTCCTGGTAGGCAGCTGCTAGGCTTAGAGGCTTAGGGTCACCTGGTCGGAAGTCAGTCTTTGTTTCTTTTTAAAGACGACCACACAAGCCTGGCAGGGTTCCAGGCCCTCCCTGCACTGTGAGCTGCCTCTCCTCTTAACCATTCAGCCACTCCTGGGCTTCTACTAGGTCCAGGGCTCTCCTAGCTGCTGTGTCTTGGTCTCACCAGCCCAGTACATTCACATTATCCCAAAAGTAACTAGGGCATAGAATAGATTGGTCCACAGTCCCTAGGGTTTGAGGCCTGGCCCTTTATGAAGCATCAGTCACTCACTCTGCAGGCAGCCCTGGCCTCCCCATCCCACAAAATTCCCAAACACCAGGGACTCTTGAGCAAAGTGTGCAGAATAAGATTTGGAGACACAGAAAATAACTATGATTCACACTAGTGAGAGAGGTGTCTAGAGCTACAGCGATAGATGGCTCAGCAGTTCAGAGCACTTAATGCTCTTCAAGAGGACCTAAGTTTGGTTCCCAGCACCCACATCAGGCAGATCACAATCATCTGTAAGTCCAGCTCCCAGGGATCTGAAGCCCTCCTCTGGCCTCAACAGGCAACTACAAACACGTATGATACATTTCCATAGACACACATACATACACGTGAATGAAAATTAAAATAAATCTTAAAGAAAACTCAGAGCCTGAGGCTAGGCAGTCTGTTTTCCAAGCCAGAGCTTTGATCCAGCATCCTGAGTTATCTTGTGAGAAATGCTTACCCAAGATGGCTGTAACCAAAACGTCCCAAACATTTCACACATACACAGTCTCATTTCATCTTTGCAAAAACAGCTGAGTTATAAACCATTATTATTTGGTTGCAGAGATAAGAAACTTGAGGCCCAGAGCAGCAGCTGTGGAGTACGGAGCCAGTAGGGCAGGCATACACAGGAAAGAGGAACTGTGATTTATGGCACAGTCTCAGTTAACAGCAGGGGAGAGGATAGGGGACATGCTGTTAGTTACTGAAGCCCTCAGGCAAGTCTGAAGCCAAGTTTATTTTCTTGGGGGCCTGTCCATTAAAGTTCTGTCACCTGAGAAAGAATTATCCTGTATTCCTGTAGCCAAGGGGTGGTCCCTGAATAAGGGCACGGCTAGTGTGCAGGAGCTGCACCATGCTCTCACCTGTCAGAAGGAACAACAGGAAGCTTGCAACACTGGGACTTCCGGTGTCACCAAACCCTAGTACTTCCCTCACAGGGAGCACTTACACTATGTCTTCTGCTTACTCACTATGGGGCTAAAATCAAGACGACAGACTACTTAATACCAGGAAGTGGCTACCTGATCCTGATAGACAGGCATTCTACAAAAGACACTTCTTCCCAGCTAATGCTCAGGGATGCTGACATGTGCTATTCACCCATGTGGGCACATGCAGCCCCTTCAGCCCAGGGGCTCCAGTCTACAGCATAATTGCATGGGAATATGTGCGTAGGACCAGCAAGAGGCAAGTCTGAGATGTTTCCAGCATTGCTCAGAAACTCCTCAGATACCCATCAGCCATAGGAAGGATTTTAAAAGCATTCTCGGAATCTAAGCATCAGTGAGAATGATCTATGAGTTCCTGCAAAACATATAGCACATCTCGCAGATATAACTTGGAATTGGGGTAAAGGGAAGAAAAAGGAGACAGCAGGGAAGTATATTCGTCAGGACAAGGAGCCGGCAAGATGGCTCAGTGAGGAAAGACACTTGCCACACTGGCTGGTGATGTGAGTTCAATCCTCAGAACCCACATAAAGGCAGGAGAGAACTGACTCCATAAAGTAACCCTTTGAATTCCCACACACACACACCCACACATATTATGCATCCACATTCTTGGCATGCACCCATACATACCATAAATAATATTTTTTAATACTAAAACCAAAATAGAAAAGTTAGGACAAAGTGAATAACTGGAAGGTTTGAGAGCTTTTTGAACATCTGATGATACTGTGCTCATCCAAGTGCTGACTAAGCCTGTGGGTTCAGATGATCAAATTCTGAAGTGTGACAGGTCTGCTTTTGTGTATCACCCCTGTGAAAAGTTAATTTGTACTTTTTAAGATTCTCTTGAGAAAGTGTGCTGTAGAACCATCAAAGACATGAAAACAGGCCCTCTGGCTTGGGAATCAGCAGTTTCCGGGGCTCCTGCTACATCTTCTCACAGCCCACTGTGGTCAGCTTGCCATGCCTGGAAGGCCTCCAGGGGGAGGCTTCACCAGGAAGCATGCCTCAGCTCAGTGACACAGAAAAGCTCCCCAGGAAAATATGTCCCCTGGCCCTTTCTCTTGGCCGAGTCTCTTTCCTCTCTGCCTCCCAGATCCTCAGGTCCAAATTTGTCACTTCCCTCTTGACCCTGCCTCCTAAATATTAACATCAGCTGACCCCCTGCAGCAGACACTGAGAATAAACACAGACTACTGTTGTTTCCTACCCAATACCAACAGAAAGAACATCTTTGTGCATCAACTCCCTTAAACACAGCTGAACAGACGAATGCTTTGCAAAGCGCAGGGTTGGTACAAATGAAATGCAGCTCACAGAAAAGGAAACACACAGCATCCCTGACACCAGGGCTGTGTCCCTGTCCAAAGGGAAACAGGACTGACTGCAGGACTGGAAAGGAGGTAAGAATGCAGTCTCTAGCCCTCACCAGCCTCACTGGCTGTACCTCTCATGCTGACAGAGTGAAATTTCATAAAATCCAACACCACAAAGGAGGCATGTCCCCCTTTCCCCGTTTAGAACAGAGAAGAACCAATCTCTAGCCGTGTGCATGCTGATTCTCTGCACTCTGAGAGCTAGGTCTCGTCCACCCTGGGAAAACAGATCAAGATCTGTTCCCAGACAAAGCTACAGCTATCCTCCTGCAGACAGGCTCTGTTTCTGCTCCCTTTCCTTTCCTCCCCAGGCTGCAGGAATAACAGGGATCAGCTGCTTCAGAATCACCAAGCCTCTCCACAACACTCCCCCTCACACTCACTCATCCATTCAGAGCATGGGATTTGAGGTGGGATTGGGAGCCAATCAACCAGAGCCTGAATCCCCATGTGGGGTCATGGCCTTGTGGCCTCCAGCACATCCTTTTTAAGTATTTCTTCATCTGTTCAATATTTTAATTTTTAATTTTGTAAAAAGTATTCTCTGGGTTCATCTGTGGAAATATACAGAATGAAAAGACAAAATGCTCAGCACACAGTGTGCTCACAACCCAAGCAGAGTCACTGTCACCCTGGGCAACTGGGACTCCAATAAATGAGGTTTGGGAGATGAAACTAAATTCAAGTCATCTAATGTGACAGAGTATAGGAAGGTTCACTCTGATTGTCAACTTGATTAGATTCAAGCACCTAAGAGATTACGTAAAACATGCTTTAGTGTGCGTCCAAGGGTGAGGGTATATCCCGAAAAGATGAACTAAGTGGGAGAGACCTGCCTTCCATGTGGGTGTCTCCACGCTATAGGCTGGGGTCTGCTTGGAAGAAAAGAGAGAGGGAAGCCAGAAGCAGGCTAGCACAGGCATTTGTTCTCGGTTTCCTGGCAGCTGCTGGACCCCACCACTCTCACGTGTCATGACAGACTAAGACCTCTGAAACTGTAAGCCAAAATAAATCCTTTTCCCCCAATGTTTCCCCTGACAGTTTACAAGACAAACACCAAGTCTGCCTGTGTTTTAAATCCTTTGTCCCACTTGAATGGCCAATGAAGACATAAGTGTAACTGGCAAAGTGAAAGATGGTAAAACCCTTCTTTAAGTTGTTTTTTTCTCCAGTATTTGTTCTGAAAGATAATCAAACTGACTCACACAAACAGTTTTCTTTTCCTTATTTATATGAGCCCCAGAACAGAGCAGGCAGCCTCTGCAGCTCCTGGGACCTCTCCCAGTCTTAACCTTGGAAAAACAGATCCAAGCTGGTGAAGGACTTCCCACTGTCACTGAGGAAGTCTCGCAAGGAGTTGAGACAAGCCCCAGCACTCAGTTCTCCCCCAGAAACCATAGAAAACTGACCTTATAACGTCCTTCCTCCACAAGAAATGCACAGCCACACAAAGAACTGTTGGGCAAAGGCAGCAGCCTCTATGTTATAGGGACAACCCACCCTGAGAGCCTAGGGTACACTTGAGGGCAATCAAGTCTTCCCTTCCCTGGGCATGGCAAGGGCCCAGAGAGGCGGCCTTGGGGCCACAGGAAGCTGAGAGAGAAAGCAGTCAGCTCCCTGCAGACTGGAAGGAGACCACAGCAATGTTACGGAAGGGAAGGGTTGGTACATAGTAAGGAAGACAGGACTTTCCTTCTTATCACAGGGCACTTCTAAACTGCCTCACATCTGTCTCCAACTGGCTTCCTATTCAGGCCACAGGTGATGATGATTCCCAAAGCTCCGGTCTAAGAGCTCCTTGTAAACTGGAGACCTTGCACACCAGGGCTCAGTACAGCTCAGCCTCCTACTACCTCTACCAGGCAGGGACCATGGGGATGATCACAAGATGAATTGAGATGAAGGCTCTACATCCAAACTTTCCATTTCAGATACCACCACACTGAATATCTTACATGATCACCTTCTTTGGGCCCATCCAACCCCTTAGAGGCTTCTACTCACTCTACAAAGCTGTTGTTCATCCCCATGTAGCCATCCCCAATCTTCACATCATGCCTTGTGACTGATCCCAAAGCTAATCCATTGCCTCCCTTCCCAGTGCCCCCACAGCATGATGATATCATCTATTTTAAATCCCAAACCTATCAACTTCTCTGGTCCATTGGCTTGGTATTGCCCAATACACAGAACTAGGACATTTGGAAAACACAAGAATATAGGCCTATTTTCTCCAAATCCTGAGCCCCGCATTGCCTTGCGCTTTCCTAGTCCCTTTATTTATCTCCATCATGATTGTGACAGCCAAAGGACCACACAATCTCAGGTTCATACCTCTCAGAACTGCTGCATTCAGCACCCAGGAAACATTCATGAGACCAGGCATGTTGGTGCACACTTGTAATCCCTGTATCCTGAGCTTCTCTGCAGGCCAAAACATGAGGATTACAAGTTCAAGTTTAACCTGGCCTATAGAGTGAATTCAAGGCTAGCCTATCTAATTTAGCAATACTGTGTTCTCAAAAATAAAGTGTTATTTTAAAGGGGCTGAGATTTGGGACGTAGCTTAATCATTAGACAAAGCTCTGGGTTCAGTTCTCAGTACTGGATAAAATGGGGTAAAGTGGTATGCACCTGGCATCCCAGCATCTGGGAGGTAGAAGCAGGAAGATTAGAAGTTAATGATCACCCTCAGCTATATGGATAATTATGGTGAATTTGAAGCTAGCCTGGGCTACATGAGACCCTACCTTTAAAAAAAATATGCACACAAAAAATAAGTTTGTGGAAATTTGTTACAGCATTCCTAGGGAACAGATGCATTCCTAAGAAGATTGTCACACTATAGTCAGTGAACAAACTGCCTCTGTGTCTATCAGCATACTGACTGAAAACATGCTACATAAAACACCTGTCATATTGATGTGAAGCAAATATTAACATCTGAAAACAATACTTGCATTTTATTAGCAAATGTACTGTAGAAATTAAGAAACCAAAGCTGGAAACATGGCTCAGTAAGTAAAGCACTTGCCATCAAGGCTGATGACCTGAGTTCTGTCTCTGGAACCCACATGGTAGAAGGCGAGAACTGACTCTCTGACCTCTACACACATGCTGTGGCATACACACATATATATACATACACACAAGCTTACATGATAAATATAGAAACAATTTTAAGATACCAGAGAATGTATACCAATTATCCTTCTTCTTATGAACGCCCTACCCACACTGAGAGGCACTCATACACTCCTAATAGGCTCTAAGGTTAAGAGGCCATAAGGTTCTAGGTACCAGGAGTCTAGCAGTCTAGCCCCCAGCACCAAGACTTGCAGGGCAGGGGATGTAGCTCAATTAGTAAAGTACTTGTCTAGCATGCACAAAGCCCTGTGTTCCATGCACAAAACAAGCGTGGTGGTATACACCTGCAATCCTAGTACTCAAAAAGTGGACACAGGAAGATCAGAAGTTCAAGGTAATCTTCAACTTCATAGTTGAGTTTCATGAGACCCTGTCTCAAAAGAAAAGGAAAAAAGGTTTCCAGAGAACCAGTCAGCTACCCATGGCACTCAGCCACAAAGTATCCTATGTAAATCTACATAGCTCTACACAGACACTGACACTGACACACACAGACACAGACACACACACACACACACACACACGCACACACACACACACACACACAGATGAGGCAAAGGAATGTAGGAAAGGAGACAGTGTGTAGTTTTCCATTTAGATAATGACTTAAAAAACAAAGCAATCTCTCTGAGGTCAGATTTCCTAATTTGGAAAGCAGGGCTGTTGTTGGGGCACAAGGAACTACTACTTAGTACTCTCCTGTGGTTTTTCCACCAAGAGCAACTGGACCAGCAAAGGAGACCTGAAGCCAGGGTGGTGGGACATAGTGAGTATATGTGGTATTCAGGGGTAGGTTTTCCTTCTTTCCTCTAATGTCGGTTTGATTATAAGTTTTCATATTGCTGTCACTTGATTATATCTCTCCAAAGTACATGTGTTGACATTTTTATTCCAGAATACATAAATGAAAGGTATTAGGAGGTGAGGGCCTTTGGGAGATAGTCACATAGTATCATTAAGTGACTTGAGAAGAGACAGAGGGATCTAAGCTTTCAGGCTAGCTCCCTCCCATCATATGACGATCTTTACCACATGATGATGTAGCAGGCTGGCCCTCACCAGATCTCAAGCAGATCCCTGTGCCATGCCCTTGGCCTCTTCAACCTCCAAAACCATGAGCTAAGTAAGCCTCCATTCTTTCTGTACTACTTGGTCTAAAACAGCCTGGGGCACATATGCCCTGTCCTCTGCCTCCTTAGTAAGAACCCATACTTCTGAGGTTTTCCACTCAGCAAGAAAGCTCCTGGGCATACAGTCCACTGATAGTCTTACGTGTAAACTATACAAACTGTGTAGCAGGTCTGTGGACAAGGTGTCTGTTTCCAGTACAGCCCTATGGTGCACTCTGGAGGGGGCCAGGTGTGGCACTAACCTTTCCTTTGCAGTCCCTACTTTGCTCCGACCATCATTATTTTTCCTTCCTCTCTAAGGAGGCAGACAGGGACCTTGCTACTCAATTCACGTGAAGATGATATGGAGACAGTTCAGAAGGACAGATGATGGCAACTTTTCACCATAGGAGCTTTGGGCCAGTGGTGGTTAGTCACCTCTATCAACTTGATTAGATTTAGAACCACCTAGGGGGACATACCTCTGAGGGTGTTTCCAGAGAGGGCTAACCAAGGAGGGAAGTCATACCCTGGATGTGGACAACACCCTCCCATGGACTGGGGCCCTAAGACTGAATCTAAAAGAAAAAAAGGAAACAGATGTAATGTTCTGTTGCTTTATGTTCCTGCTATCACAGCTAGAGCCCCTCTCACCAGCATGTCTTCCCCATGGTGCGCTGTACTCTCAAACCATCGAGCTAAAATAATCCCTCTCTTCGTATTTTGTCACAACAACGAGAAAGCAAACATGCACTACCCTTCCCAGTAACGGGAGACAGGAAGACAGAAGGAAGATGTGGCTCTGGCAGAATGAACAGGAAATAGGGGGCATCCAGCAACACTGTTCATTTCTTTAGCCAACCATAAAAACAAAAGAGCTTACATTCCCAGGGACACGCCAGGACTGTCCACGCAGCAGCCGCATTTAACCATCACCATGACGCAGACCACTGTGCACTTCACAAACAAGGATCTGTAGTCCAGAGCCCTGTTTCGCCATCTACTCAAGATTCCTCAGCGAGTAAGTGGGAGAGCGAGCTTCCGCTAGCCAAAGAGAATGATTGTCTAGACATTTCAAGAGCTCTCAGTGCGCCGGCAGAGACTAAGGAACAGAATGACTGGTCCAACCTTGTGCTTCATCTTTTCTTCATTAGTGCTTGCTGAGTGCCCACGTAGAATGGGGGGGTTGCGGGGGGGGTGCAGCTCATTCTCTCACTTCACTTCCCTCAGTGGGGGAGATTTATTCTGTGTGGGGTGCTGTCAGAGTTTCCTAACAAATCACTGCACACTGGACTGCTTAAACCAGCAGAAATGTATCCCCCTTGGTTCTGGAGGTGAGACGTCCATCTCCCAGAAGAGTGGTCTCCTGGAGGCTCTAAGGAGCATCTTCCCAGGCCCTTTCTGGCTTGCATAGAGCACACAGGCCTTGACACGCCTTGGTTTGTGGCTGAATCCCTCCCATCTCTGCCTTCGTTTTTCACCTACCCTCTTCCCTCTTGTCCCTAAGCTTGTCTTGGTCTAGCACCAATCCCCGGGTGCAGGGCGCACCCTGATCCAGCACTGAGGCAGGATAAAAAGGCAGAGAAAATCTGGGGGACATAAGAAGTGGGCACGAAGCTCCTCACTCTGGAATCCACTGGAAGCCTTGGTTAGCAGAGGAGCAGAAGTGACCACTGCTTGAGGCCTTTATCCCTTCCCAGCCACGAACCTACAATTTTCTAGGAATCTCGCCAGAAACCCATTTTCAGAGAAAGGACATGCACTGAGCTCCTTGTGCAATCCTGGTGGCTCCTGGTTTTACTTTATCAGATTATAATTTCACCCAAGGCATCTCTGGAGTCACTTTATGCATCTCTCATCAAAAGAGAGAAGGAAAAAAAGGTTTC